AGCTAGCTGTTAACTTGATTTTACCATTACCTTTTCATCTTGTTCTCATCAAGCCTCAGTAATAGTTTTATAGCTATAATTTACTCAAAACTACTTTGAGGTATCAGGTAATGAACTAGCTTCTGGCTAATAAAGTGCCCACTTTGCAAGCAGTTGTTTGTTTTATTACTCTAAGCACTTGTTTTATCATATATACATAGAAAGTTATATTACATCGATCGTTTTAGGTACTCATCTGCAATCTGTGTATCTCTGTCAGTTGGGGCCATCATACTCTGTATTAAAAAATGCAGCTATCACCGTATTACGCTGCTTTTCACTTGTCTGTATCATAAATATCTTCCTAGTAAACATTTGAGTAAATGCTGCAGTTCAATTCATTTAGGCACATCGAAATTTTGGTTATTTTAATCTTTATTCATGTAACTCTTGACCTTTCGGATCTGAACTTCTGTTTCTGCTAGGTTGACTATAATTTGTATGGTATGGGTCTTCTGCATCTATGGAAATTGAAGTTCCGCCATCCAGTACCAGATGCTCCAGGGAAGAAACTAGATCACATTTTCCAGTACTTAAGTGAGAATCATGCAATGGATAATCCAACTTGCATGCCTTCTCATCCTCAGGTCTCCTTTGTATTTTTGCTTTTCTTCCATCTAGTCTAATGAGATTGCGTGTGTTCATTATGCAAATATAATGGATGTTCTCTTGGAAATTTAATTAGGCAGATCCATGTACTAATGACACAGCATCAACTTCGCCAGTATGGATATCTTCTAAAATTCCAACCGATTGGATGTGGAAATTTCCTACTACATTGGATGACTCAAATGATGATGGAATCAATTTCTGTAAACGTCAAAGTGTTTGTGAACTCGAGGCAGATGCTGCTGTAGAAGGTTCATTTGGCTTCATAATTATGACGTGAAAATAATTTTTTTTACCAGGTTGTAGAAGGGTTCCTTATCAATCATTATTTCTTGTGATGTCTAAGGCTTTCAAGAATTTTGATCTGCAGATATCCTTAATCAACGTTCTAAAATTTATACATCCTTTTCCCAATCCCATTCGGATGTGAAAATGGTTCAATCACTTGTATCAATTTGGGAGGTTCGATATTGTCTCATCCTTTATTCTTTCTCTATTTTATTGTTACATTTATGTGCATTGACATGCAGAAACTGTATGATGGACCTTTAGGTGTAATATGTAATTGGTATGTATACATGCTTGTTCAGTGAAGTAACTTATTGTCCGTATCCTAGGAGGAGTATAGGAGAACTGGGCTGCATGAGGTGCCAGTGCCACCCTATCCTGGAAAACCATCACCAAAAGAAGTTCTGGAGACTTTCTCACTTGGTATGGACTATGAGAAAAAACTGACTGAATTATACGAGAGACCAAAAAGTCCATCGTTGTTGACTCCACTTGAAAAGGATGAAAGGTTGGTGCAGTCATTGACATCTTCAGCTAATGAAGCAAATATAATTGGACTAGGATGTTCTGATCTTGATGGTGAACCTTTGAAACATTTTAACGAGATAGGCAGAACTGATTCTGACTCGTTTGGTCCTTCTTCATATGAAGATCATGGCAAAATGCTGATTGAAGGAGAGGATGTGGTTCCGAGATTGTCTATTGATGAAGTTCAAGTTACTCCCAAGGTAACTGATTATTGTTGTTGTTGGGCATTCTCTCTTTTTCGCCTGAATGTCTGGTGATTATACATTTGATATGTAAAATTTTTATGTTACAGTTAAGGTATCTATAAAAGATTAATTTTACTGTAACTCATAAGGTTAAGTCATTAGGTTGATTGGTGATTTAACAAGATACAAAGTGAGAGGTCCTGTGTTCGAACTTCTGTAATGTCATTTCTTCCCTGTTTAATATTAATTATCATTTGTTAAGTTTTGTGCAAATTTTCAAATCCACAAGTTAGAGGGAGTGTTAAGGTATCTATAAAAGATAAATTTATTGTAACTCATAAGCTTAAGTTTTTGGGTTGATTGATGATTTAATAGTTACTTTCTGCTTGGTCAATATGTTATGCTTTCACTGATATTCTTTAGATGCTCATAATATACTTAACTATGGGTCATAACTTTAAAATGTTCTTTCAGTTCTATAAATTTCAATATTTTGTAGAAATGTTAATGATGGGAAAATCCTTGTACTCCTTGGGAGTTCTTTTCAACGTCAATGGGCAAGGTTCCAGGGCATGGATTTTCCAAACGTTGGTGGTACTCTCTTGGATTTGAAAAAAATATAATGTATATGAGGTTATAATTTTCTCACATAAAAAAAAGAGAAGAAATTATTTAGTAAGGTGAAGTTCCTCAGGAGCTGGATTTTATTTGGTTAGTGGTTGGAAGATGAGAAGATAAAAAGTGATTGTAACTGTGAGTTTTAGTCAATATTGAGTTGAAACAGTCCAAATATTTCATTTTATTTTTATGTCAGTCATGTTTGGGTTTTAATATTTTTTGGAACATTCATCTTACCAGGCTGTGGATGAGGAGGCACTAGGTCTCCTGAGGTGGCTAGCTACTTCTCAGGCTGCACAAGATATTAATTCCGATGATGAACTTCTTTGTGAGACAATTTTGGGCCCCTTTTTGCCTGCAGCAAACATGGATCAAGTGCTGGAGAGAGCTAGCCAGGATTATGGTTCTGAGTCTCAAAAGGAGTGTCAAGACATTCTTGATTCAGTTGAAGACCTTGATGAATTTGAGGGTTTTAACAAGAGAAAATGTTGTCCTGATGATAATTATCTTTGCAGGCCTTTTTCTGGAGAAACTATTCCCCAACTTGATGGTGCTGCAGATGATATGTTCTCTCCCTGTGGTGGGTCGACTGAAAACTCACCCACTGGAGATTCAAATTTTGAGAATGAAAGGTCTTCCAAACGTGCGATATTGCAGGACATTGATTCAGGTTCTTGCAGTTACAAAAAAGGAAAAAAAGAAAAATCATTGCGGGGCTCTTTACCTTTTCACAAGGCTCAGAGAGTGAATACAGATTCAACATGCGTCAATTCTTGCAAGCCTGATATATCTGCAAATTCAACCAAAGATTCTGGATCTGCCTGTTGCTTTTCTGGAGAAGAGGGAATACAGATGGATGTTGTATTACGAAATTCAGGTACACGTACAGATAACTCCAGGGAAGGAAGTGTACTTGCACAAAGTTCTTTACGTGACTTGATGAGGAGGAAGCGTCACTATCGAAGTGAATATGGTGAACTTAAAAATTGTACCGTTGATAGCAAGCTAACAAAAGTGTGGTCAAGAGACTCAGATTTTCAAGCGTTGCAATCCATCGAGCCTAAATTGAGTTTTCAGGATTCTTCCCTTTTAATGCCATGTTTAACTAATCAAATCGCAAGTTCTGTAAAATTTTATGAGAAAAAGTCTTCTTGTTCTGATAGTTCCATGTATGGTAAACTGCCGCTTGCAGATGGCTTTGATGGCTTAGTGCAAGCTAGCTCACCAAATATAGGAGAAATCCCAGGATCTGAAACGGTTACAAGTCCTTCTCAAGTGTGCTGTGATCCATGGCTTTCTGAGCCAGAGACCCTAGGTCCTGGTTCTCTTGGTTGTTGTGGAGCCTTAGCTAGCAAGAAAGCTAATTCTGATTTGAGTGACGCTGTTGCCCATGACGGCATACCATCCATGCAACATGCAGATGAGGATTTAATGGCTCCAGAGACAAAGAGAAGATTGATTTTGGTTAACCAGAATAGTAATGACAGAAAACAAAAAGAGGATTCTGTTTTGTCTGGGCTTGGCAGCTCTGTATCTATGGTTGCTGATTTTGATGCTGAGCAAATCTTATCAATTGGTATGACTACTCTCAAAAAGCCACCTAATGTGGATTTGATGCATAAGGGACCTATCAACGCTTCAACTTCGTCTATCATGTCAAGGACATTTGCTCTTTTGGATGATAAAAATGTTGATGGGAGAACAGGTTAAAATTCTATTTTCTTAATGCATTTGGTGTTGATACTTGTCTTTACTTTCCTAGTTTAATTTTTGCATTAAGGTTTATTTTCCTTTGGGGTAGAAGTGCAGGCTTTATGATTTTTCTACTTTATTTATTAGTTCTGTTGGCAATTGGAGGTGTCGCTGGGGAAATTGTACTGACAATGGATAATCCTTAATTTCTTCAGGAAGAGCTTTGGATGATCTTTTACCAATTTTTCAACACAAAGACAAAAAGGATATTTTTGAAGACAATGGTTTTCGTTCTCCTAAAGAAGCTGTCGTGGGTGTTCCCATTCACTATCGAAATGATGGCTCCTACATGTATATTTTAACACCTGCATACTCACCTCCTTCTGCAGACAGTGTTTGTCAGTGGCTATTAAGTGAACAGAGAGGTGACTACCAGAACTCAATAGGGCCTAGATTATTGTCTTTCGTTTTTTGTTTTGGATGTCTATATAGGATTAGGTTGACTAGTCTAATGCAAGTAGATCCTTCATCATCTATTGGAAAATTACATTTTATTTTATTTTATATTTTATTATTATTATTATTTTTTGTCGGAAAGTTGGCATTTCCAACAGCTTAAAATGTTTACATACTTTATTTACAGCTCTCAGGATCAGCTCAGGAAAACCTTTAGTTGATGATTCGGACAAGTCTCTGCCTCAACCTGCTTCTTCATCTCATACTAGTCATATGCTTGATTTAGTTAATCATGGAGGTCTTACTAACTCATCTGCAGATGAAACTTCTTTTCCTGAAAATTTAAAACCAGCTAAAAGCAAAGGAGTTACATCAAAATCAAAAGCTTGTTTGAGTTTGTCACTAGATGTATCTCAAATTTCTGGCCCAGATGGGACATCAAAAGCTACTCCTCTTAGCCAAATTGGATTTTGTGATCCTGCAAGTGTTGGTGGCATGCAGCAATTGACATTGTTAAGCGTCGAGGTATTAAATACATAATTTTCTTTTCAATTTTTTCTTTTGTTTGTTGGAAGTTCGAAAATATTCTTATTACAGGTAGCAATAGATATTGAAGTACCCCTTGACACTGCTCATTTTTAGGTTGGAATCCCCTTTTTTCATGGAGTTTGAATTTATTTTGTTCAGGAAATTCTGGGGGTCCTGATAGCACTCTTCTTTTTGATCTTTCCTTGCATTTGTCTAGTGGGAGCCATTATCGATATTTCTGAGCCAATATTTTAGCTCAGAAACCAATTGGCTATTGTTCGTACAAGTTATATAAATGAAAATCTAAAATGAGTAGCAAGTGGATTAGCCAGATTATTTTCTTATTTTTCATGTTGAGGTACATTTTCCTTTCTACATCATTTCTTTCTTTCTGCTAAGTGGATTAGACAGATTATTTTCTTATTTTTCATGTCGTGGTATAGTTTCCTTTCTACATCATTCTTAGATATCCAATCTATGAATTAAATTTATCCAACCAATCAACTTAAGCTTTCGGGTTGAGTGGTGATTGATACATCCTTAACATGGTATCAGAGCGGGAGGTCCTGTGTTCGAACCCCTATAAGGAAGAGTGTTAGATATCCAATTTATGAATTAAATTTACCCAACCCATCAGCTTAGCTTTTGGGTTGAGTAGTGGCTTATTCATCCTTAACCCTCATTTATTTATTTGCTGCTATTATGTATTCCTGTCACTATTTTGTCGTGCTCAAAGCTGATCCATCTTGTTCTAGGCAACTTTATTTTGACATGCTATCTTTTTGCTTGGTCACCCGTTTGAATAGACTTGGCAAACAAATTTAGTGATCTTTCTTGATTATAGGAACTTACGCTTGATACAAAATTCTTCATGTTTTCTTTTGGGCTTAAAAGTTTCTATACTCGGTGATTATCTCATACTTGGCTCTGGTTGTTAGGTTCAAGCAGAATGTAGGGGAGATCTCAGGCCTGATCCTCGACTTGATGCCATCAAGATGATAGCTCTTGCTGTTCAGACTGATAATGGCCCTGCTGTTGAAGTTGTTTTAATTTTATGTACTAACACTGATTCATCTAAGAGGTATGATATTTATGACCACAATAAAAAGGTTGTACTATTGAACCACTACGTCTTTGTTGGTTAATAAGTTCTGATTTTATGGTGAATTTGGTTATTCCAAATATTATGCTATCTGCTTGCTAAAACAGTGCACATATGCAAGTCTCCTTTGTATCCTTATACTGTTCTTCATTTGGTTTTGTGTTTGTGAGGCATTTTTTCTTTTTATTCGGTGTTAGTGAGAAAATTCTGGGTGCATTTCTTGTTGTTCAGCCACCTTTTATCAATATACAAAGGTGTATTGTAATCATAAAATCTCCTTAGATAATCAGCTAATTTCCTGCAATAGGAATGATTTCATTTGGATGTCTTCCACTTTATTGGCATTCGTGTTTTTTTCCCTGAATAATGTTTTTCTCCCTCTCTCTCTCTTCCAGGAATCGTGATGGGATAGGCTACAAAGTTTTGGTTCATTATGAAGAGATGTCCTTATTTCAAAGTTTTATGAAAATTATATATTTAATTGACCCGGATGTTTTGATTGGCTGGGATATTCAAGGTAGTTCTCTTGGATATTTGGCAGAGAGAGCCTCTCAGCTTGGCATAAGTTTACTAAATAAGATATCTAGGATACCATATGAAGCCAAGATGATGGATGAAGATTCAAATGCTCACCCAGAAATTCCAGAAAACCTGGTCTCTGAGTTGGTAAATTCTGATTCTGCTGCAGTAGAAGATATGATAATTGAAGATGAATGGGGTCGAACTCATGCCAGTGGAGTCCATATCGGCGGTAGGATTGTTCTAAATGTATGGAGGCTTATGCGCAGTGAAGTTAAGCTTAATATCTACACGCTTGAAGCTGTTGCTGAAGCTGTTTTGAGACGAAAAGTACCTTACATCCATCATAGAGTACTAAAAAAATGGTTTAACAGTGGTCCTGCACAAGCAAGATTTCGGTGCATTGAATATGTGGTGGAAAGAGCAAAGTTGAACCTTCAACTAATAAATCAGCTTGATATGGTATTTTGATAATATTTTTATTCATAAAATGATCGCATTATGTAGTACATATGTACATAGGTTGTTGCTACTGCATAGGCTGGCCAAGTGACTTTCATCTTCTACTACTTCCAAGTTTTTTGAGTTTCTTTTCTTGTGCATTTAGAGAGGGGGGGCCTTCTGGGAAAGAGTTCATTATCTGTTCTCAAATATCTTTTCCCATTGGCCGGATAAGTTATTTAGTAATAGAAACTAGGTTCTTCAGAGAGCACTTCCTTTTAATGTATTTTTGCTTTCTCCATCTTGCCATGATTTTGGTATTGAACTTGTCAAATTATATTTTTTATTTTTAAAATTACCTATGCTATTTAGGTTAGGGTTTCCTTCTTCTATTAGGTAAGATTTCCTTATCCTAATAGGCAAGAATTTAGTTTTCTTTCTTCTTTGTAGCGGCTATTTATAGCCTTGTATCAATTCTTTGAAAGGACGTAAGAATTATTTTTTCTTATCAATTAAAGTAATTTTATTAATATGGGTTGACTAAACCAAAATATATTGTGAAAACAGGAAAGTTAGTAAGAAAATATGAATTTAATTGCTCCATTTTCTTGAACTTATCAAGTCTTCTGGTAGGAGGCAAGATCCCTATTTTTAATTGTCATAGCATGTTAATGGATAATTCTTAACCTTATTTTCATGATAGAGGGTTGGTAGACCAGTTTCTCAATAGTTTTAGTACTTTTGGCTTGAAAGTAATAGGAGAAAATTTAAGGGCATCGAAGGCACTTTTGAGGATGATTATACTCTTTCTTGCTCATTTAGTTCCTCCCTTTGGCTTTTTGCTTCTAAGATTTTTCCTTGGTAGTTGTCTTCTTTCCTTGATTTCAAATAATTGAAGCCATTTCTTATAATTATTATTTGTTGTATTTATTTTTTTTGGAAGTTATTTCATGTTGTCTTGGCCTGTTTTTTTTTTTTATGGCTTTGAAAAGGAAAAAAAGGTTTGATGCACACTATAAAGGATATAGCTAAAACAAAGGAGTGTTGACATTTTGGTTTTGTTGGTTATAGTTTAGTGTTATCTTTTTCTTCTTTCCTTATGTATATAATTAGAACCTCATTCCTGTGTATTTCTACCATGTACTCTCATCCATCTATTTATTTACGGAATTGATGTCTTTCATAGTTTCATTCACACGATTAAAATTATATCACAATGTGTACCTGGCAGATAAACAGAACTTCAGAACTTGCTCGTGTGTTTGGCATTGAATTTTTCTCCGTTCTCTCTCGAGGCTCACAATACCGTGTTGAATCTATGTTACTAAGATTGGCACATAGTCAAAACTATTTGGCAGTCTCCCCTGGGAATTTGCAGGTCTGAATTGATGGTCACTTGCACTTTCCCTGAATAATTTCGATAATGTAGGAAATTGTACGAAGGCTTCTTTTATCTTTATTTTTGCTACTTTTTTGTGAAAAATCTTTATCCAAGGTGTATCTTGTGATAAATTTTTAGTATACATCCCATCTTCATCACCATATATGATTGTTCTTTCTGCAATTAATATTTGTAAGAACTAGGTGGTCATGTGCCTTTCTTCCAAGATAATTTACTTATGTGCATTAGATGTCGTTGGTTATATTAAATATAAAATTTAGCTGTGTTATTTTTCTGAATATGCTAATGATTGGCAATTTTTTTGTTGTATTTCTTTCTTGAATGTTATGCGTAAACATGTTGTATATGAGTCAATTGATTGGTGAAATATGTAAATACTTGATTTGTAGTCTCAGTATTTCTTTTTACAAACTTAGTGCTTCACAATTTACCCATTTACATACTTAGCATCTGACTGTGTTTGTGATCTTTATATTTTCCCCTCTCTCTCTCTTTCTCTCTCACTTGTTTTCCTTTAATATGCATGAAAGGATGTTAAGGTCTATTTGATTACGAAGTTATTACCCAGCAGTTCTTTCGTGCTTTGTGGCCTTTGTGGTCTTTATGGCTTTTCAGTTTTTTAATTATTTAAATCTAGTTTTTTTTTATTTTTTTCCTTTTGTTTAACATCCTCATTACATCATGAATCATATTATTGTTTATTTGTTTTTTCTTTAATGAATCAGGCCAAATACACTGGGAGTTTCCTCTTTTTTTCTCCTTTTTTTATTATTATTACTGTTACGTTTCTTGGGTCCATGTTGTCAGTGTCGAGATACTATTAATTTTATAATGAATTCCTTGTTTGTTTCAATGACGAATTAACTTGGTTGAGTGAAACATCTCAATATTTTTTTGCTAGGTTGCTTCTCAGCCTGCAATGGAATGTCTGCCCCTTGTGATGGAACCTGAGTCTGGTTTTTATGCTGATCCTGTTGTTGTATTAGATTTTCAGTCTCTTTATCCATCCATGATAATTGCTTACAACCTTTGCTTTTGTACATGCTTGGGCAAAGTGGCACCTTCAAAGGTTAATACACTAGGGGTTAGTTCTTATTCACCAGAACGACAGGTTCTCGAGGATCTGAAAGATCAAATGCTGTTCACTCCTAATGGTGTCATGTACGTACCACCAAAGGTAGATCTCTGGAAAGATGCTTTATATGACTATGGATAATAAAGAATATGACAATATGAAAAACAAAGAAATATGTCAGGAGATTTTATATGCCTAATAAATTTTTTTTGCTGATTGATCTAAATTTCTGTATGATCACAATTTTCTAACACCATAATTTTATTAGATGTTGGGTCAATGTATTCCTTTCTACATGAAGGAGGTTAGAAATAGAAATTATTTTGACCTTAGCAAGCATCTTTTTGTTTTGTGTTTTTTCTTCCCCTTTTGAACGATCTTTTGGAATCCATTTATATGGAAAATAAGTAGAATCATAGTGGAAATCAATTTGAATAGTTGTGGAATTGGAATAAAACTTCTAATATTATATTTACTGATTTGAAAGTGTAATATGGTATTGCGATAGATTTTGTTTACGTATGCTTGGAACAAGAATCATTGTAAATTAACTATGTATTCCATTGCAGAAGTTAAAGATAAAAATATATTGTTAAAAAAAATAAATACTAGATTGAGATTCTTTACCTTTTTGAAGGGAATCTCATTTCTTATTTTGATCAGGGATCCACAAGGTTGAAATCATTCGTAACTTTTTCTACATACCAGTGATAGAATGAAGAGAATGATTCTCATTTTTTGATAAGTAAACACTCTCTTGGCTTTTTTTTGGCCTTTTATCAACGGTAGAATAGTCTCTAAATTCTATGTATAGTGGAATGAAAACAATAACATCAGTGCTTTGTTTCCTATTAATTTTCAGGTCCGTCATGGTATATTGCCTCGTCTTCTGGAGGAGATATTATCGACTAGGATCATGGTTAAACAGGGAATGAAGAAGCTGGCTCCATCACAGAAAATTCTTCAGAGGGTACGCTATATCAGACATAAAATAGTCTATTCTTTTGGAAAATCACTGTTCACGTAATAGTTTATAAATGTATTGATGACATGATGTTTTCATTTTTACCAGTATAATATTGAATATTAAAAACTATTTTTTTTTTGGTGTATGAACAGAACAGAGAGTTTATAGATATTAATTGATATTATTATGTATAACCTGCATTTTTATGTTTTCAATATTTGATCAATCATGTACATGAAGAACAAATTCGATCGAAAAGCTTTTAATTTTAATTTAGTTATAGTTAATGGTTAACAAATATACATTTAACATCTTATGCATTTTTCTTAAACTAGTATATGAAATAGTTGTAAAAATTTGTGATTGAAATAACCTAAATACATCGAATTTAGCTACAAAAGGAATTTCCTGTGATCAAGACACTACCGAGAAGAGGTGGCTGTAGCTAACAAAAGAATTTCCTGTGATTAAAACACCACCAAGAAGAGGTGTGCTGTACATTCCTAAAAAAAAAAAAATGAAGACGTTATCGTACGATGATTCCTTTAGTTTCCAACCAAATATGCCAAATAAGAGCTCTAGCTACACAATTCCTAAGAAATTTAGCTTTTCTAGGAAGAGTCCAACCCATGAGGACTTCAGATAACGAACAATCGATTTGTTTAGGAAAACAAACCAAGATGCCAAAAAAATCCAGCAGAAAATACATCAGAATTTAATCCTTACTTCGTCAAAGATTTGTAGCCTTGGAAGTGACTATAGTACTTGATACGTAGTGAGAATCCTTTCAAGAAAAAGTAATATAAGACAGAATGCGTTCAAAAATGTCATGTGGAATATGTGCTAAATGGCTGGTACAAAGAACACATGAAAAGGCTTGGTCTTTTTTTTCATTGGATAATATGTACATGTGTGCATTTGTTAGTTTTCTGGATCTATTCAACATTCCATTAGGTCATTTAGTGCATAAAAATGTAAAATAAAATGCTTTGCTTCTTTGGATTATCGTATTCCATTAGTATCTTCTTGATCATTCTTTAGAGGATAGATCATACGATAACATGATGTGTTGCTGAGTTAGTGATCTATTAACTTCCCAGGTATTTAATGCCAGACAGCTTGCTTTGAAGCTGATAGCAAACGTGACATATGGCTACACAGCAGCTGGTTTTAGTGGTCGTATGCCTTGTGCTGAACTTGCAGATAGCATTGTTCAGTGTGGCCGCTGTACACTAGAAAATGCAATTTCATTTGTTAATTCACAGGAGAAATGGAAGGCTAAAGTTATTTATGGGGATACTGACAGGTAAGACTCAAAAAATGAGTCCTTGCAAGACATGATCTGGTTACTAGTGTATCCTTGAGTGCTAAGGTAACAAATTTCTCAATGATGTATGTGTCCTTGTAAGCCTTAAACACGACCATATTTTGAAAACTAGTTTTTTAGCATAGTTCCAAAAATTAACATTGTAAACTTCTTTTCTTGGGCATTTATTTAGAGTGGGAAATGGAATTTAGTTTAGAACCTTTTAGGTTTAAGTGCCTGCTTTCCCTTCTCGTTCAGCATGTTCGTTCTTCTCAAGGGACGTACGGTGGAACAAGCTTTTCGCATTGGACAAGAGATTGCATCTGCAATCACTGCAATGAACCCAAATCCTGTCACACTTAAGGTGGAGAAAGTTTATGCTCCTTGCTTCCTTCTCACTAAGAAGCATTATGTCGGTTACAGTTTTGAGAGCCCTGAACAAATTGAACCCACCTTTGATGCCAAGGGCATTGAAACTGTACGGAGAGATACTTGTGCAGCTGTTGCAAAGACAATGGAGCAGTCGTTGAGGCTTTTTTTTGAACGTCAGGATATTTTAGAGGTGTATTTCTCCTCCTGTTGCTTTCAATGCAAAAATTAATTTCGTCTGATAATGTATAAATTGATCGCTTCTTTTTATAGCTTTTAACTGCTGTTGAGACTTGGGAGCACTGAAATATTGCCATAGTTTTAACTTTTATATTAAAAGGTTTTGGATAAAATTTGTATTAGAATTTCGGAAATACGAACCAAATTGGTCACTGTTTAAAAGTAATAGACCAAAATGAACGTTTTAAAAGTAGGAAGATAAAATGGAGAAAATAATTATAGGGACAAAGTGGACGTTTTGAAAATATAGGAATCAAAATAGACCAAAGTTTATTGGATCAAAATAGATTCAAGCTAAAAGTATAGGACCAAAATTGTATTTAACCTTTTTGAGGAACAAAATATCTGAAACTTAGATGAAGTTTAGAAATACTTGTTATGCTAATTGCTCATTTAATGATGAATTTCATAACTACCTGATTGGATGATTAAATCAGTTTTTAAATGCACAGATAAAAACATACTTGCAGCGTCAATGGAAGCGGATTCTCTCTGGAAGGGTTTCAATTCAAGATTTTGTCTTTGCAAAGGAGGTACGGCTAGGTACATACAGCACAAGGTCATCCTCACTCCCACCAGCGGCAATTGTGGCCACTAAAGCAATGAGAATTGACCCGAGGGCAGAACCACGTTATGCAGAGCGAGTTCCTTATATCGTAATTTATGGGGAGCCTGGAGCACGCCTTGTTGATATGGTTGTTGATCCAATGGACCTTTTGGCTGTTGATTCCCCCTATAGGTTGAATAGTCTATATTACATCAACAAGCAAATAATACCTGCTCTGCAAAGAGCGTTCGGTCTTGTTGGAGCCAATTTAAATCAGTGGTTTCTGGAGATGCCTCGTCCGGTCAGGGAAGCATTTTCTAAGCAACCCTTATCGGCTGCGAATCCAAAACGGACCCGGATTGATTATTACTACCTATCTAAGCACTGTATACTATGTGGTGAGTTAGTTCAGACCTCATCTAATTTATGCAGCCAGTGCTTACAGAATGAAGCTGCAGCCACCACAGCTATAATCAGAAGAACTTCGAAGTTAGAGAGTGAAATGCAACACCTTGCTGCCGTAAGTACTGTTGTAATATTCTTCCATTATAACATTTCTTGGATTCTTTGGTTCACTAATCTGCTTTCAACAGAATCTGATGATCCTATAGCATGCTGTTAGATTTACTTGATTAGTTCTGGCGTTACTAAAATTTGATTAATTGTTCATATTTGATCTATTTTATAGGCAAAGTTACAAAAACTACCTGTTAACTATAGAAATTGTTCCAATCTCGTAACATGTAATATTGATTAGTAATCGGGACTTGTTTGTAATTTTGTTTTAGTATGTTGGTTGGTAGGCTTAAATCTTCTATCAATAAAGGGTTATTTGATGTGTTTTGATACACTTTTGAAACATACCAAACATTCTTTGAGAATTCTAGGTTACATCACAATCGCACCCTCAAACTTAGTTTGAACAACTACTCTTTAAGGCTACAGAAGCATTTAAGGCTACAGAAGCATTGCAATTAAGTACAACCACTACAACTCCATGATTGGTTGGTTTTAATTGTAACAATTTTGTCACTCTAGGGGTGGTAAATTCTCAAATTAGAAGCTTGAGCGTGCAGTTATAAGAAACTTTATAACAAGGTCATCTTTACGAACTTCCCCAAAAACCCGAATATGAATATTGGTTGAGTTTAATTGCACCAATTCTATAAGCTCTTTTTTTTTTTCAAGTTGCAATCAACGTAGTTATTACTGTATGGTTTGATAACAACAATTTCATGAAGTCGTTTTGTGTCTTTCAGATATGCCAACACTGCGGAGGAGCGGACCGGATTGTGGAACGTGGTGTGAAATGCACTTCACTTGCCTGTTCAGTATTCTATGAAAGGGTGAAGGTTCAGAAAGAACTGCGCAGTCTCGTTGCTGTTGCTGCACACAGAGATCTGTACCCAAAATGGACAGTGGAGTGGTTTTGATTTCTGGCTTCCCAAAGATTAACAACATAAGATCTCCCCATTTTCCCATAGCAGCCCCTTCAGGTAACCTACATTTGTAGGGCTCCACCCCCAAAATATATAGATTTTTGATGCCCTCAACAACCACCAAGTTATATGTATATATAGCCTTGTGTTATATTTCCTGTATCCACTAATGCAAAATTGGCGGGTACGTATATATATGTATATATTCTCGATTTACGTATATATTCTCGTAGAATCAAGAATTAAGTTTCGAACATCGAGTGTTCTAAAAGGTCTTAATTGTATTGAATCCACACGAGATTCTTCTTTCTCGTTCTTACATTAGTCTTGTATTGATTAGTTAGAAATTTTTTTGGTTGGTTTTTTCTTTTTGATTGAGATGGATGGCTTGTATGCCTTTATAGGTCTAGTTCATGGATTAAAGAAAATACTCTTGAAAGCTTTATTTATTTATTTTTGTTATGAAAATTAAATTTAATAGATTTATTAGATTATTTGTGATCATTCAAATAGTCTGTACAGCGTTGTGTATCTTAATAAAGAACATATCTCTTTATTTGATGGAAGAGACTAACAGGATATATTTTAAATTGAATTTATTATTTTATCTGTTTTTATTTTGTCTAACCTACCTTTTTTTTTATTATGTCATCTCAGATTATCATTTGCTATAATATAAATTTATTAGAGTTAAAATTGAAAGCTTAGAAGTATGATTTATTTCTAAAAAATTTAAGAATTAAATAAATACGCAGGGATCATAATTTAGAAATAATTTTATAATTAATTTATTTATTTGTAAGTTAAAAGGCAAAGATCATAGATGATTTATATATTGAGAAATAATTCAACTGAGGTCTTGAATTCATAATTTCTTGATCGAGACAAGTGTTGAGTTTTGAAAAATTTAATGTAGTAAGAATATGTCAATTATGTTGAGTTTTGATAAATTCAATTGAATTCCGATTATTATGACTAGTTGAATTATGTTGGTATTTGCCTCGTAAATGATATTTATAATATAATATAAAATTTAAAGATATAATTAATGAGCATTTGCAGATAAAAATAAGTTTAATTAATTAAAAATGTAGTGAGAATATGATTAAAAATAAAAAAACCCTCAACCAAAATCTCACGAAAAAGACTAAAATAGACGTAATTGATGGTCTATTAATGATGAAAGTTTTTAGTTGAGGTTGATTGTTGAGTTTGGTATACTATAACGTTTTCTTTATATAACATGTAGGTGGGAAATCGAACTCACAATTTCTTGGTTGGAGATATATGTTAATTACCGAACTATGCTCGTTTTGATTTGGTATACCATAACGTTAATGGCCACTGATTGGATTTCCCGAATGATTAAACAAACATTGGTAAACACATAATTACCCTTAATAAAAAGAAAACCAATGAGATTTTTGAAAATTGAATTTAATGAAATAAGTAAGAAATATTAGTTGCAAGCCAAAAAGAGGAAGTCCCCTTCTTGGTGTTTCATCCTCAGTTCAGGGTTTAAGGTTTCGTCGTTGTTCAGTCGGTCCTCCCATGGCTATGGAGGGTTTTAGCCATTCAGCTCAAACCTAGTCCCTCTCTTCAACAATGGCACACTCCCCCTTCTCTCTCCTCTTCCTCAAGCGTCTATCCTTCTCTGCGCCTCTCTCTTCATCTCTCCTTCCTCATCTCCTCGCCACCGTAAAATCCAACCGATTTTTCACCTCCCAAATCCCCTCATCGCCTTCCTCCGATCCCAAACCCTCTTCCCTTTCGGCCCGCATGAGCTTCATCTTCGATCAAATCGACGCCATCGAGAAAGAGCGCTGTCAGAAGGACCAAACTCTGCAGAGAATTCGAGCCTGGCGTGAATCTAAGACGCCCCGGAGTGATCCGCCCGTCGAGAATCGGGGCCCGGAATCGGAGCCGGAGTCCACGTTGGGAATGGACGGAGCGAATGGGGCGGAGATGATGGAGAAGAAGAGGAAGGAAATTGAGTTGGTGCATCCATGGCCGGAGTGGATTGAATTGATGGAGAGGTTAGTTCATCAGAATTACTTTGATCACAGGAGGAAAGACGAGGACAAGATGGTGGAAGAATTGGGATTCAATGCCTCTGACCTTGCTTTGGAAGATGATGTAGGGTTGGATTTGGCCAAGGATTTCAAAGCAGTTCACACTGCTTGCTTGAATTTTGGTAAGGACCGGTTCGACATTCTGAGGTTAGTAGCTCAAACTCAAGGTTTCCACTTCTGAATTCATTATGTGAAAAAGTTTGACTGCTTGCTTTGACACTGGTCTTGATTAATGGAATGGAAATGAAATGGTATTTTGCTATGAACAGGGGTGGAGCCAGAAGTTTTTTTACGACTCTCATATATATAATCTTTAGGGGCAAATTAGAGGGTAACTATAAAGTTTTTAAGTATTTTATATCTAATTTTTGAATTTACTACAAACTATGGGGGTAATTACCCTGTTCTTTCCTTCTTAGTTGAGTGATAAAATGGGAGTGATCAGAAATTTTTCTCATTGATTGTTAGTCTGTGATTTTCTCTCATTTTTTTTGGATCGGGAGGTGATGATGGGTTTTCCATTTTGTCTAATGACAGATATTTCTAACATCTGGGTTGGATTATTTTTGGGCTTCTTTTGTATTCTTTGATTCATCCTATTGAAAGTTTCTCCAACCATAAGAAAAAAGTTTTACTGAGATTATATATATGAGAGCACATTTTTTTTTTTTTTAGTGAAGTTGAACTTTCCTTGAAGGTAGACTCAATGTTTTAAAAGGCTAAAGGCGGCCTCGAGGCTTTTCCTCTCGAAGAGGCAAGACGTAAGCCTCAATTTTTAATTAAAAAAATTATACAAATCTAAAATTCGTATGATCAACTATTGCTAAACACAATAGTTGTAAAAGTATAAAAAAAATTCACCTGTTAATTGCCACTTAAATAAAAATCCTAGAAGAACATCCTCAATATCACTACAATTATCACTAAGAGGATTGACTTATTCTATATAATTTGTCTCCAATGTTTTTAAAGTCTAGGTAGTAAAAGTAGTAATAGATTGAATTGTTATCACTCCAACGATCCATTCCATACGCAAAGAAACCTTTATATTTTTTAAGAATCGGACAAATTAATAATATTATTCTAATCATTACACAAGGTGTAAAGGCTTTAAGCCCCAGTGTGTCTTCAAAGAGGCGTAAGCCTCTTATGGTTCAAAGAAGGCGAAAGTCTCGAGGCTAAAAGTTAGAGTCTTGCCTCGAGGCGAGCCTCAAGGCGTAAGCCTCAAAAGTCTTTTAAAACATTGGGTAGACTTTCTTTATTGATTGACTTTTCATTTTTTCTCCGGGCAAGGTTAGAAATATGGTTGACTAGAATTCTAATACTTTCTTTTCTTTTCCTTCTCTACCATCAATTGGTTTAATTTTATTCTTGAATTTAGGTTAACCAACCGTCCTGTAAACTGTTCTTGTGAAAAATTAATCCTTGTTTAGGAAACTTGTGTGTAAATTTCCAAAATAGATAAAGAGATTTTGTAAATACTCATCCAAGGTCTAAGAGTTTTCCTTGCAGGTCCTTGTCAAAAAAAGACATCCAAATTTTGGTTGGTTTTGGATGCCCAAGTCCAGACAAGAAGGTCGTTTTCTCTGCAAAACTCTTGAGGAAGCTCGTTCATCTTGATGAAGGAGATGTGAGTTCTTCTTTACTTGTCGTTTTCACTGCTTCCATGCCATGAAATGATGGAAATGAACTTAACACTGGAAATACTTTATCTCATTTCCAACTTGTTTAGTGTTTTGGTTTCTGGTTTTTCCTTTGCACCTTTAACTTTTAATTAGCAACGGATTGGATACTATGTGAGGTACAGATTGTGATAACTGATCAGATTTTATAGTTCCTTGTATCTCTATATAGGAATAAAACCTTTTCTGTTGGTAGTTACAAGTTACCAACTGAGAGTTCATTAGGAAAAGTTCAATTATTCTCTCTCTTAGTACATGTTTTGATAATAAAATAATGTGATTTTTTTGCATGAAGTAATATCAACTAGTCTTCACATACATAGATATTAATTTATTTTATTTTCTGCTGCTTGTGTGACCTACGTAATATTGTTTACTTTCCTTTTTATTCTTTATTACATTTACATTAACGATGATGAAGTGCTGTGCATAATTTTTTTGTCTTCAGGTTTGCAGTTCCTGCAGTTTAAGAAACTCTTGTGAAAGAGCATATTTGGTGACTAATAAAGAGGATGAGGCACGCACAATTGACATCATGCGAATGTTATTTACTTTCGGTTTTGATCCCATGAATGGAGGGGTTGTCAATGATTCCCTTTTGAGACGAAAAAATGTTAAGACAGTAGTTCGCAAATTACTTCATGAGGTTGTCAAGTTGGGTTCGGTCCCAATAGATCCTACTCTCAGTCCTCCCGTAATTAAAAGGCCACCACCAAAAGTGAAGCAGCCACCGCCTCCTCCAAAGAAGCGAGTAGGACGTGATGATGTCGAGATGAAAAAAGGGGATTGGCTCTGTCCTAAGTATGTGTTTCTTATGCTTAATTTATTGTGCCAAATGTTCACTTTTTACTCTCTGGAACTATTTCCTGCGTTCTTGGTTTATTGCTCCATATGTGTAAGGCTCATATGATACCTAGAAACATTGTGGGTGTAAGTTTAGAAAATCAAATGCCTAGAAACTCATTCTATCATAATTGGAATTCTAAGCATATCGAATGGTGTATTCGAATTTGATTGGAATAGGTTTATAAACATCTGATTCTGGTTAGAGTTTTCTGTATGAAAGATCCTCGAGGTCAAAGTTATGGAGGTTATTGTTTCTATACTGTGTTTTGCCTTTGCCTTGTGTAAATGCACTTTACTAATTGGAACTACCAATTTTGGCATATCGTTAGATTTCTCAACATTCTCTTTTTCAGTTGTAAAATTGAGTCTGATGTTAAAAATGCTAAATTAAAAAATGTGTGAACCTCCTTTCAGGTGCGACTTCATGAACTTTGCAAAAAATACAGTGTGCCTACAGTGTGACGCGAAACGTCCCAAGCGGCAGCTGCTTCCAGGAGAATGGGAATGCCCTGAGTAAGAATTTTCACATCTACTTAAATTTTTTCTCCTTTTAGATACTTGAACTGTATGGAGCTTTAAAAGGATGTCTTTTGATCTCTTTCTACAGTATATCAATATTGCAGAGAATAGGTATATAGGGTTAATTTTTAGCATTTATTGGGTCTGCATATAAACACCAGTATCATGATAAGAAATAAGAACAGCTGGGATTAGTAGAAGAATATGTTATTGGTTTGATGAGAAATAAAATAGAATTTCAATTCAAGTGGTTGGAGCTTAAACAACTACTTTCCTAGTAAAAGAAGGAAAAAAATGCAAATTTGAGAGTCAAAAGTGGAAAATCGGATTCCAAGAATTCAGTGTTACGTCGGTTAGTTTCTAACGTCTATACTTTCTGCTATCTGTGGCAGGTGTAACTTTTTAAACTATAGAAGGAATATGGCCTGTTTCCATTGTGAATGCAAGCGACCAGCAGACACATTTCTAGATAACGAAAGGCAAGAAAAACCGCACGTTCCTCAGTCGAGAGTAGAGAAGATTGCCAATAGGCAGGACGTGTCTAATGCCTGGAATTTTGATTTTGATGATGATGAGTCGGATGGAGCAGATGTTGCAGCTTTTGAGTATGCAGATTCATCGGCTAAGGGCGAAGGATCTCATTCCGATAACCAGGTGAGAGGAAGCAAACTTAGCTGGGATCTCCCAGAAAGACAATATTCCGATACTGGTAATGGAGGTCCAGGCATGGGATTCGATGATTTCGTCGATGAGGAGGACGATATTGACAGTTATGAGCTAGATACCTCAGCGAACAAGTCAACGAGGCACTCTCATTCGATCGATTTTTCTGACATTGAAGGCCACTCGGGATCGGAAGATGATAATGGCCCAGACCATAGACCTGGTGTCCCAGCTTCCAATAAGCGTCTAAAGACATCACGTCGACAAGCAACATTCTCTGGCTCCGAGGATGATGAACTTGATTTTGACTCTGAAGATGACGATATTACAGCCAAGAGAAATTGGAAATCTAGTCACTTGGCAGATCGGAGGCAGAAAAGTAGAGGCAGTGGTTTGTCAAGTCGATCGAGGGGGAGATTAAGCTATGGTTCTGATGAAGAACTTGGCCTCGACTCTGACCTTGATGACGATTTAGATGAAAGTCCCCAATCTAGATCGAGTAGAGGCAAGGCAATAGGCCCTGGTAGGAAGCATTTCCAAAGGAGAGGAAGTTCCAGTCTATCTTCTGGATCAGATTTCGATGATTTTGATAGAGGTTCTGGTTCTCATAGACGTGAATCGAGAGGGAATCAAAGAGAAACTAACCGCGACCGCAGACCTCGGGGCGATAAATACACAAGGGGGAATGAGTTTCAATCCAACAATTTCAGGAACGGTAGAAAGAACACATTTTATGACGACTTTGATGACAAGTCCCATCGATGTCGCGGTACCAATCAGAGATTTCGTGACACCAATCATGGTGGGCGTGGAACTTACAGCTCAGGAGCTGACAAGCGGGACTTTCGGGGTCCAAAAGAAGGATACAAGAAACAGCGACCTGGAAGGTATAATGCATATGATTCAGCCACGGATAAGGATTATGGCGGTTTCAGAAACAGCAGGCGCGTTATCGAGAGATAGATCCTAGCTGAAGCATAACTCATAATTCATGTTGGGGTTCGGGTTCGGGTTCGAGTTCGAGTTCCAGCAATCCTCTAAGAGAGTTAATATCACAAGATTCCATTTCACGTCACTGCTAACCAAAGATCTCTTATTCTGTTGCTGTAAAATCCAATCGTGATTCATCTTGCAGTGTTTTCTGGGTGTAAGATCGTAGATGCCCTCTAGAGGGCAAGCCATTTGATTTTTCTTTTTCTTTTTAAATTATTTTTGGTCTTAGAAGTGGGTTCTTAATCCTTCTCACAAATATATTTATTTGGTCTATTTGTATATGTACCTTTTGTAAGCTTTTTTAAAAATAGTACCAACATACATCTTCAAATTTTGAAGGCAATATTTGGAGGATGTCATCTTGAGGGCAATATTTGAATGACCAGTTTTCTAACTGCACCCTCTTAAATTCCTTTGTCTTAATCAAGGTATTAAATATTATATGTTCGACATTTTTATATGGCTATGACATAAAGAGTGAATTGACATAATATCTATATTATTGTAAAAAATTGGACAAATAAAAAAAATATCAATAAAATCTTCCTAATGTGGACATAATAATAACAATTAAAAATATGTAATGAAATTACCTTTTATTCTAAAGGGTGAAATTATTATATATTTTTTTAATTTGAATATTCTTTTTATGATTTTTTTTTGAAATACCGATTTTATTTATATTTTTATGAATATTTTTATAAAATTGAGATCTCCGAACAAAAAGCTAGCTCAATTTTTATCTATCGATTTCATATTAAATTGAATAAATAACTCATTCTAGAATAAATAACTAAAGGGAAAAGAAAAAACTTCCATTATTCAGGAATTAAAAAATACCAAAGAGTTCATAATTTAAGTTATATCCTACCTTGATGAAATAAACTTATATTAAGTTATAACTTAGGAGAAGAATAGAAGGAGGTGGTAAGAAGTCATTTCTTCTCAACCTCGATATAACTCAACTAATTAAAATCTTTGTCTTTGACTAAAAGATAGTGACTTCGATTCCCATCATATATATTATATTAAAAAAAATCATTGGTTAATAGCTTAAGTATCATTTAGGATTTCTTTTTTTTTTTCTCTTATTTAATTTTATATATGATAATAGGTCAGAAATATAAGGTGGAGGTTCAAATTTACACTACTAAGGATAAATTATTATTAAATTATTTTCAAGTTTGCACTAAATAAGCTTCGTCGTAGCTCTATTTTTGTGGTCATTATTTGGCGTTGGGACATTGAATTTTGTATTAAAGTTTTGGGAAAGAGAATTGATTTTTACCTTCTTGCTATATTAATTTTGAACCTAAAATTTTAATTTCATCGGATTGGATCTTAGACTTAGATGAGTATATATAGTAATATGTATCTTAAACTTGAATAGTGTTTAAATTTTTACCTCTTTACTCCGCGTAAAGAATGGTTAAAAAAACAATTTTCAACTCTAATAAATGAATTATAAAACATATGTTTGGTGCAAAATTGATGGAACTTAAAAAAAGACAACATTAAAGTTAGATTTTTATTGAATTTTGGTAAGTTCTCGTAGATTTATTTAATGGTTGATTTGTATATTCACTCAAAAGTAATTAATTTTTGTGGGACATAATTTTTATTTAAATTATAAGGAAAGTTTGGGAGATTTTACCTTATTTTTTTTTTGGGTTAAAAATTAGTGATATCAATTAAGATGATAAAACTATAAGAAATTAAACAAAACCCAAGTACTGAAATAATATAAAATAGGTGAACATAAAATTAATTGTCATCAAGGTATATTAAGTTCCATTGAAATTTTTATTGAAATTTTTATATATCTATGGATTCCACGGTCTGTATCGCCACATGGAGTTTATATTGAATTATGATGGAAAAAGTAACCATGAATAAATTACATAAAACTTTTAAGCTATTGTCATTATTGGTTTACACTGTCTTAAGTGGCGAATTAGCATTTATGTAGTATCGTGGAAAAATTGATAAAATATTAACAAAAATATCAAAACTCATAAACCTACAAGACATTTATGGAATTATTAAACTCAAAAAGTTTAGGCATTTTTTGTTTTCCTTTTTTAAAAATTACGTTAGTACAAATTCATTAATAAGTTTTCATCCTTTTTGAAAACATATTTGAATTTAGTGAAAACGTTTATAAAAACAAAACAAAAGAACGATGTGTGTGAAAGTAATATTTATAAGATTAATTTTTAAAAATAGAAAGTAAAAAACGGAATGATTATCCAACGGAACTTTAGAAATTAAGCTTGTGATTTAAAAAAGAACGAGAAAAAAAAACCTATCTTTCTTATTACTTATCAGAGCATAGTTCAATTGGATAAGGTACCTATTTTTTACTAGAAGATCGTGAGTTTAAATCTCCACCATCGTTTAATGAAAAATGATAGACCTAATTTTCACATTATTTATGATTGTTGCTCACCTAATTTCGTACTTTTCTACCAAACATTTTAGTTCCAAAAAGTTCTTCGAAGCAAAATAAATCGGGCTAGATCGAATTGGAGCAAACTAGAACCAATCCAATCCAACCGATAAACACTCCTATTTTTTATTTCTAAAAAAAACGAACACTCATATTTAGTTGTGTACTTGATAAAAAAAATTATTTTTGCCAACATAATGTAGGTCAGCATCTCTAATCGAAAGGTCATAAGTTCAAATCTTCACACCCCGTTTGATGGACTAAAAAAATCCAACGGATTAATTCTAATGGGTCCATCCAATTGGGGACCTTGGCTAAGAATTATTAGACTCGCCATTACTTTTCTCCCTTTCACATCTTTCACATTGGTTTGTTTTATTATTATTTTTATTTCAACAACTACCTATGATAATAAATATCTTATTTAAGATTTATAGTTTTTTTTTATGTACCAATTTATTTATTCAATTTCTTTTACAAATGGAAAAGCTTAGATTTATGATTGGTGTGAAACTTNCAACCATTATCCATGTGATATGTCAATTACCGTTGAACTATGCTTGTTTTTTTTACTTCACACAATCTAATTTATTTAATAATAATAATTATTATTTACTTTGTTTGAAAAGGTAAAAGAAAAATTGAACCTAACTCAATGATTATCACATGTATTTTACATAAAGGTCACATGTCACAAGGGTTAAACTAATAAATAATAATAAAAAAAAGTAAAAAAGATAGTTGGAATAAACTGGACATTCATGTGAATAGAGTCATTTAATCATCATTATTATATACGTAAAATTAGATATATGTCAATACCGTTGAGCTATATTCATTTTGACATAAATTTATATTTCTAATATTATATTATAGTCTTTTTATTTTTTTTTCCTCTTCTTTTGAAAAAACAAATTTACGATAGAAATTTGAATTCCGAACTTAAAGAGAAGAAATAGATATCTTAATTGCGAAAGGATACTAAATAACACGTTATAGACTTTTATTAACGTGTTTTTATAAATTGAAATTAAATAATACATCAAAAGTAAAGTTGAAATTTTGAAAAAAATAAAGACGAAATTGAAAAAAAATGTCATGTAACAAAAACGAATTTACATATTTAGCCGAGATACTTTTACAGAAAAAGGTGCTACAAATCTACCTAGTTTTTTTTTAATGATTATAAAATATTATAATAACAGAAGTCTTTATATTTTCCACTCCCTCATTGGACCATACGATAATATTGATGTTTTTTCCTCTTTTTTTTTCCTTGAAAAGGGTTAATATTGATGTTTAATTGTTTGCCTCTCTGGAAAAAAAAAAGAAAAAGAATGTATATGTATATATTTGATGTCTGTCGGATTGTACGATAGTATTGATGTCTGTCCACCGACAAATAGTGGCTTATTTATTTTTCTCCCTTTCACATTGAATTTTATTATTATTTTTAAAGTTAAATAACCATTTTAAGTTTTTTTTTTCCCTTAAATGTTAAAACTTAAAAAATTCCTCCACCAAGAGACGACTGAGACACTTTGGTAGGAAGTCATCTCTTGTATGTGGCGCTGTTGAAAGTTTAATTCTCACCACGAATTTGTTGAACACAAGAATGGAAAAAATAAAGAAAAAATCTTCCAATTTCGACTTGATTTTGATGTGCTTCATATAATTTTAAAGTTTCACTACTGTCCCTATTAATTTAGTATTTTTTTCAGAAAAATTCCTATTGTTATTAGATGTTAATTTTTTTTTTTTTTTTTTAAACATTAGAGAAGTAATAATTTGACTTTCTAAGCTAATTAATTGTATCAAGGTGTTAATGGGGTAAAAAACAGAAAAAATTAGTAAGTTTACTTTATTTCCTAATATACCTATTTTAATAGCAACTGTCCTTAAGTTGATAGGTTGACTCACACACACTTTAGATTTGTCGAGATTCGATCATTTTATTATAAGCTACTCTGTTATTTTCTAATCTAGGAAAAAATGCTTTTCGATTATCAAAATTGCATATTTTTTATTCATAAAAAAGAAATATATAGATAACGAAACTGATAAAAAGATATTCATTAAAATTCTATGTATTGTGTATGAACGTGGCTGATCCCATTTTCATTTTTATTTTTGTTTTAAATCCTTTTTTTTTTAATTTCAAGTCGAGACTTTTGATATTTTACATCGTGTTAAAATTGGATTAAAATATTACAAATTAGCTTTGTAGTAAATTTTAATTGCTTTCATCCTCAATTCAAACTTTTGACATATTGATCTAAAAAAATATTGAATTTACTTATCACGTGAGTAATATAGAATACATAAAATTAATATTCTAAAGTAAAAATTAAAAACAAAAGTTGGAGGTTATCTTTGTTTTTTCTTTTTTTCTGAATGGAGTAAAATATATTTTTTAAAAAATATATTGTAAGAGAATTTAACCTATCAAAATTGAGGTTATTTAGGGTTATTAATACATGAATTATTGAGCTAGATAAAATATTTAAGAGTTATGAGTTTAATTAAACTTCGAACCGGTAGAAGATCAAACAACCAATTTGTTAGAATCCATATAAATGAATTAAATTTACCCAACCCATCAGTTTAAGCTTTTAGGTTGAGTGGTGGTTTGTTCATTCTTAAGATGGTATCAGAGTGGGAAAATATGTCTATCCAAAATTTTACATGGTTGATTTATTTATGATTCTCTACGGTAGGTTTGAATAACTAGGAGCATCTCTATTTTAGATAACAAATTTATGCTTTTAAAAAAATGTTGTTAGTGTCGGATTATAGACTTTCATTAACATGCTACTGTCCTTTCATTAATTTTTTGTATTTTATAAAATGATACGACTTAATTGACATTAACTAATACATCAAAAAATGTTTTTTAAAAAAATAAAGAGAAAATTTTAAAAACTGTCACACCGAGAACAATATTTTTTTA